ATCTTTCTGTAGCTGACTAATCATTCACAATATACATTCTTTATGTAGCTGACCAATCATTCACAATATACATTCTTTATGTAGCTTACCAATCATTCACAATACACATTCCTTTCTTTAGCTGACCAATCATTCAAAATACACATACTTCTCTAGCTAGCCAGTCATTCACAATACACATCTATCTGTAGCTGACCAATCATTCACAATACACATTCCATTCTGTAGAGGTGATCAATCATTTACAGTAACTTAAAATGTTACTCTGTAATATTTTCTTTTAATATTATCTTTGTTGACTGGACATGGATTACTGGTTAGTGTTCATTTAAACCTTCAACTACGGTTGACATGATATGATGCAAGCATTTTGCGCGCAACATTTTGAATGGCCCAGCGCAAAAATTCGCAAATCTTTGCGCATAGAGTGATAGGCAAATTTACGCAAGCAGCAAACTAAGGGTTAATAGTAGCCATGTGAATGGCAGGTATTGCTGACTTATTGTCCCCTCTCTCTCTCTCTGTAATCGACTGTTCAAAACAAGGGATGAATATGGTTATATCTTGGAGTCTCTGATCTATCGTTTTGGCCCAGGTGTCGTGCTGGTTGACAATATCAAAAGCTAGATAATAGTGGAGTAATTACTTATGTTACGATATAACTGTTTTATTCTCCAATCAATATTAATTAACTCTGTGCGGTCTAAATAAAAGTTAAATACTGTGTTCATTTCAGTTGTTTTTAACTTATCCCTACATTGTGATAAAAAGTAAGATTACTTAGATAAAAGAGGTTTTTCATAACGTTTGAAAAGAATCAGGACAGGACCAAGAAAATGGTTTTTATAACATTTTTAATGTAAAGAGAAGTGACTTGCATAAATTATATAGAAACCTAAATAAGTAAACGTTCTACGTAGGAAACTTACAAAATACAAACATACGATTTTCTCTATATTGGTGCAAATGATATGTAAATAATTTTAATTTCTAGTAATTAATCTATTAATTTAAAATCTGTGATGTTAGTTACTTGATGACATAAATCACCCTTATTTTCAGGTACCTCATCAATTGGTTACTTTTACGCTCAAAAGATGTACAACTGGGAGGTAACGCAATATTCCGATGTCAGCGCCATCTTTAGCATAGCAAAGGCAGTTCTAATGTTACCATTAGTTATAATTCTAACGAAAATTTACAACGTTAAAGAGCCTGTGATAGGCATACTAGGAGCAATTTCAATAATGACAGAAAACATAATAAAGGGATTATCTACTTACCAGTGGTTGTATTACCTATGTAAGTATGTTGTTCAAAACAACGTGGTTATACTATTTATATAAATATGTAGATTAAGCTAAATGTGTTTCCACTATCTATGTAAGTTTGTAATTTAATTACAAATTCGTTTTACTATATATGTAAGTATCTAGTTTAAGCACAACGTGATTGTACTATCTATGTAAGTATCTAGGTTAAGTACAACGTCATTGTACTATCTAGGAAATTTTGTAGTTTAAACACAACATAGTTATATTATCTATGTAAGTACGTAGCTTAAGCGTGGTTCTACTATCTGTGTGAGTTTGTAGTTTAAGTACAAGGTGGTTGTACTATTTATGTAAGTACGTAGTTCAAGCACGGCGTATTTCTACTATCTATGAAAGTTTGTAGTTTAAGTACAAGGTGGTTGTACTATTTATGTAAGTACGTAGTTCAAGCACGGCGTATTTCTACTATCTATGAAAGTTTGTAGTTTAAGTACAAGGTGGTTGTTCTATTTATGTAAGTACGTAGTTCAAGCACGGCGTATTTCTACTAACTATGAAAGTTT